TCTAGAAGGCTTAATGTTAGCATATGTCCCCTCTAGGTCTACCTTCCTCCCATGTGACAGGTCATTACAACTACCATGTATGCACAAGCAAGCAGAGGTCCTGCCTGGGTCAGGGTATGGCGGCGTGGGAACCTGTCTCATTTCTGCCTTTATATCTGACAGTTTTGCATTCTGTCTAGGCTAAGACTGATTGAAAACAGGAGAGGCCTTGCTGTTCTTTTAGCATGCACGGGAATTGTTCCCAGAACTGTGCTTGTCCTCCTGCGTTACCCATCCTGAAGGGTAGAGCTGAAGCTTGGAACACCTGCGGCCCACTGCAGTCAGGTGTAGTCCAGACACTGGAGAAAGGCCTTTAGGACCAAGCTGACAGGTGGAGGGCTAGCTAGGTCACTCCTACACAACCTGCTTCTGTAGAAGGTCCCACTGGCCATCTCCCCTCCCCCAAGGATCTCCTAAAGGCTATTGGAAAGAGGCCCTTCTAAAACACTCACGGGGAAAGATAGCCACCTGGTGGCCAGATACTAACATTACATTACAGAACGAGAAATGGACATAATTGAAGACTTGTCAGGATCGGGGGCTCTTACTGGTGGTTGGGGGATTTAAAATTCATAACAGAATTCAGCCCACTTTTGTGTAGTTGATTAAAGACTCTCTTTTCCTCTTGTGTGTGTAAGTATGAAGACACACCTATGTGAGCATGCGTGTGGAGGCCAAGTGCCACTCATTCTTCAGGTGCCACCCACCTCGTTTTTAGAGACAGAACCTCTCACTGACCTAGAAACCAACATGTATGCTACTCTGCCCAGATAGAAGGCCTCAGGGAGTCGCCTGCCTCTGTGTGCCCAGCCCTGAGGTTACAAGTGTGCCTGCTTTTTGTTTGTTTGTCTTTGAAATGTGGGCTCTGGGAATCAAACTCAGTCTGTGCACTTTGACGACTGAGCCCCATATATATCTTCTCATAAAGAGAAATGCAGTGCCTTCAGATGACAAGTGGCTCTGTGAATTCCCATGGTGAAAATTCCGAGCTCTCTGAACTGACTGTCGGCCACTCCAGCTGAGGCAGGCCACTCGATCACACCAACTCCCAAAGCTTTGCTTCCTAGAAGCTACATATGTCTGGGGATGGAGGAGGGCTGAGGCAAGGATGTGGGCCTTTAGGTAGATTCTCCTAATGGCTCTTTGGACTTCTCTCCCCTCCCTCTTCCATCCCCTCCCTCCGTCTCTCTGTCTCTTGCTTTGTCTCTCTCTCTCTGCCTCCGTGTGTGCACGCCTATGCACATGTATGCATGCGTCTATGTATCTGTGGAGGGGTGTGCATATGCAAGTGTGCACATGTGAAGGACAGGGTTTAGGTCTCTTCCTATGCATGTTTGAGTCTTCCATGGGACCTGAAGTTTCTGGGTCCCACTAGATTAGCTGCCAGCACGCCAAGGGATCCTTCCGTCTTCTCCTTCCCAATGAATGCTGCATCTCTGCTTTTCGTCTGGATGCTGGGTATCTTAATATGGTTTACTATTGCTGTGAAGAGACATCATGGCCACAACAGTTCTTACAAAGAAAACATTTAATTGAGGAGGCTTGCTTACAGTGTCAGAGGTTCAGTCCATTAAAATCATGCAGGGAGTATGCCCGACCGAGTGAAGACAGAAAGTGGTGTTGGAGCTGAGACCACTAATCTTGCAGGCAACAAGAAATCAACTGACTGTCACATCAAGTGAAGCTTGAGAAAAGTACTTCAAAGCCCACCCCACAGTGACATACTGGCCCGGATTAAAGGTGAGCCCTCCAGTTTCAAGGACTGATTAAAGGCATGTGTCATCCAGCCTCCTCCAACAAGGCCACACCTTCTAATAGTGCCAGTCCCTATGAGTTTATAGGGGCCAAATACATTCCAACTACCAATTAGGCTGAGGTATGTCTTGGCTGTTTTGTGTTGCTAATACCATATATCAACAGCTGGGTAAGATTTAAAAAGAGGTTTATTCTGCTTATGGTTCTGTAAATCTAAGACCAAGTAAAGGCCCTCTTGTACAGTCTCTCATGTGTGTGGTACCACAGAGCAAGAAGCCACAGAAGGTCATCTCAGGGCCTTCAGCCTGGTGGCCGGCCGTTACTCCTCTTAGGCATCTCTCTAAGTCTCTTACTCCAAACACCAAAGTCTGAACAGTGGTTGCAGCTGTTGTGTTGTGTTTTGCTGCCAAATTCAGGCAAATGAATCCCAGATGCCCTAGTCAGTGAGGCCAAGAGCGCACCAGGCTCCGTTTGGGGGTGAAACGGCTCCTTAGCCTGCTGTGGATGCTGGCCTCTTCCTCCTGCGCACACTCAGCTTATAATCTTTTCACTCCTTTCCTGCCAGGGTGCAGGTATACAAAAGGGTCGGCTCTTTCCTATTTTTCTCATCACTGTTGCTGGGCAATCTCACCTGGACTCTAAAAGTAGCCAATGTGACCCCTGTTGCAGCTTCAATGCTTTGTTTTGAAATCCACCGACTGGCGGCGAAGAGCAGTGGATCACTTTCCAGTTCAGTCTTCTTTCTACAAGCTTCGGGACACTGGTCCTATCTCCAAGTTACCGGTGGTGATGTTGTAACAGGGATGATGTTGTAACAAGGGTGAGGATGACCTTTCTTCCAGCTCCCAGGAGGCCCCTCCTTTCCCCCTGAGAGCAGTTCCTTACTCTCATCCTCTGAGGCTTCACCAAGAGCATTTTTGAAGATCATTTAGAACAGCAGTTTTCAACCTGTGGGTCACAACCCATTTTGGGGAAGGGTTGAAACATCTTTTCATAGGGGTTCACATATTGGATACCAAGAACATCAGATATTTACATTATGATTCCTAATAGTTGCAAAATTTCAGTTATGAAGTAGCAGTGAAGATAAATTCATAGTTGGGTGTCACCGCGACATAAGGGATTGTATTAAAAGGTGGCAGCATTAGGAACCATTGCCTTAGAACTTACTAGATGCCTGTTCCTCCAAATCCCTTTCAGTCTCAAACTATCACTCTCCTGTTGCCATGTACTTGCTACCAGCAATCCCCTCCACACTTGGTTGTCTGAGTCTGTTTACTGTTACTAATAACAGGCCACACGCTGGGAGATTTAAAGGGTGGAGTTGGTCTCACTTAGGCAAAGCAGCCTAAGGCTAAGGGGAAACACCTGGTAGTGGCCTTATGCCGGGAGAAGCCCCGAGGCAGGGCATTGCAGGGCAAGAATCAGAGAGTGCACCTGTGTCTCAGCACTGGTCACCTCTGTAGCTACTGCTCCCCCATCGAGGGGCTCCGCTCTAACCCTACTGGTCCTCCCCACCCCAAGTTTCTACCTCTAAATGCTCACCTAGTGGTGTAAATGCCTATTCTCCTACTAACATGAAAAAGGACTTAAACAACAGCCCGTCTGTGAGGGGACAAATCATAGCAAGGTGTAGTTATCTTCCAAGATGGATAGAGCCATCGGTGAACGACAAATAGTTTATTTCTGCATAGTGAACCCTGAGGTTAAAAAAGAAGATCAGCACACAATTCAAAATGTGGTATTTGAAAATTTAGTTGAAACTAAGAAACCAACAAGGAAACGGGTGTTATCTTGGGACTAAAGAAATAAAGTGGGGGGCCTGGAAGGCCAAGTGGGACTTCCACACACCTCGGGGAGATGACCGAGTGCTTCAGGAAGCAGGCAAGCACAGGAAATGTGCTATGGTAGGAGAGCATCACTTAGCCTCTCAGGACCATGTCATGGTATGCTGTTTTGCCAGAATGTAGTAGAGTTCTCTGCTAAGGCGATTTTCAATAAAATAAATACAAACAAACCCACCCAGTTGGAAAATGAAATTACTGTGAAGATAAATCTGTATGGGTCAGAAGTGAGAACTGGACAGTTGCCAGAGTCCACATCCATTTCCCCAGTCTCTAATGCCATGATTCAGAAGATGGGTTTAGGGTAATGGCCAGAGGTGGGGCTAGTCAGTGGATCTCTTTTATCTCCTAATGTGACCACATTGGGTACATATTTGTCTGCTTATCACTATTGTGTCCTTTAGTTGGCATGTGGTGGATGGGTGGCCAAGCCTAGCCTGTTAGTTACCAGGGATTGGCTCTGACCTTAAAATTTAAGTATGTTCCTCTTATGCATTCTGTTCAGCAGCCTCTGAGACCCGGACCTCACCTTCTACACAGACTGTGTACGGTGTGTCAGATCATGGGCCTGTCTGCCTGGGTGCAAACTACGACAAGGCATCCAGCCCTCTCTAGGTATCCATCCGGTCCTTCAACGTCAAAGAAGGTGGCTTGAAAAGTGGACAGGGTGTGTGGGGTTTGAGTGTTATCAATTGCACTTTCCACTGGAGAGTTAGGATAGGACTGCAGGGTCTGGATGCTCACTGAACACATGCAACACCACTGACGCAATCTCAGAAATTGGGACTTTGTAACCAGATGAGGAGAGGCCAGAGACTCCTGGGAGGAGATACTTATGGCAACAAAGAAACGTTTCTGAGAGCGGTGGATACAATGATAGGAGGTCAGCGAGAGTTCAAACCCCGGAGTCAAGCAGCCTTTAAAGCCGAGTGAGACGTTGTCCCTTTCACCTCTACAGCATAAGCACGGTGGCCCAGATGTTAGATGTGGGATTCATCTCCTAGAAGGATGGGGCGGTGGAGGTTAGCCTGGAAGGCGCTAGGTCCCTTCTGCCGCGAGGCACTTTGGGAATTGTAGTCCGTCCTCCGCCCCCCAGGCTAAGGTCGTCCTTGGAAAGACTGTGTCCTAAAGGCATCATAGGCTCCGCCTCCTGGAGGCTGAAGGGATTTAGGTGTCTACACAGGGCCTGTAGCGCGGCAGGCATGCAGGAGAGGGGGCAGACAATCCTTAGAGGCAGGACCTGGATCTTGATCCGCTCTCCCGGAACGCGCCCTAGAGCTTCGTCTTTTGTGCGGCCCCTGCACTGCGCCGGCTTTCTGCTCAGGCGTCGCTGCGGGCAGCCCGGATAAGGGGCGGGGCCGGGTGGGGCGGGGTCCTGCTGTGCTGTCGTCGCGCTTGGGCCCTCCGGGCTGCGCCGCTCCCCAGTGCCCTGGGCTTGCTATGCTGGTGTGAGTCCTAGGCCGCCTCCACGGGGACCTCTGCGCACGCATGGACCTGCCCGCGCCCGGCGGGAAGCGGCCAGGCTGGAGGTGGCCGGGGCGGCGGGGCAGGGCCGAGGCAGCGGGCCCCTGAGCGCGCGTCCTGCAGGCCCGGTCGGAGCACCATGATGCCCGGCGAGACGCACCCGGCGGCGCCGGGGCCAGCCGACCTCGCGCGGTGTCAGGGCTGCGCCTCCCTGCAGCAGGTACGAGGATCCCTGGCCCACCCTTTTGCGCTGTCGTGGGATCGGGTGTCTGTGCTTTGTTTAATCACGGGTTCCAGAATTGGTTCACCTGGTGCGATGCTGGTGGCAGATTAGAGCGAGCGTGCTCTGCAGGGCTCCTTTCTCCCGTGCCCAGATCCAGGGTCTGCAGGGCCCAGTTGGATTGGTGGGTGACTCTTAAGTGCAGAGGGAATCTTGCTCCCTGGGATGAAGGCCTTTTCACACTCCAGATTATCTGATACTTGAAGGCAAAGGTTTTATGTTTTTATGTTGCGTGTCCGAGTCACTAGCCTTCAAGATGCGGGAGCTGCATTTCAGCTTACGCCTATCTATTAATGCACCGTCAAGCGTAGCTTTTGCTAAGTAATGTGTTACTGGTCTGATTAAAATATTCCACTGAGATGTTGCGGTAGTTTGTTACGGTGCCATGCTCTGTTCTCAACAATGAATCGCTGCAGATGAATTGTGGGGTTTACTGATGTAGTGGAAATATTCCCAGCTCACCTCCTTCACCTTGTCCCAGTCACCTGATCGCCTTTCTGCCTTGCGTTCTAGGCACTGTTCACATGGTTGTGAATCAGGTGGACAGGAGTAAGATGACGTATGCTAGTATCAGCAGGATTTTAGATGTTGGAAAGAAAATTATGGAAGATGTCAGGGTGTACGAGTGATGTGTTTTTGAGGCAGTGGCAGATGTGAATGTTGAAAGGCAGCTCTGGATATCGGTTTTAACGGGTTGGGATCGTTTCTGTGATGAGAAAGGACTGATGCTTGATGAACAAAGCTTTCGGAAGCCTCTTGGCTGGTGAGATGAGATCAGAAGGGATGCAGGCTTAGGTAGTCATCCATAGATACTTGATTTTTATTGAAAATGCAATGTTTGTGTTGATTTATATATTCTAGTTGTTTTTTTGGAATAGGAAATGGGGCTGGCACTGTTGTATAAATAAAATGAACATTGTGTGGGTATGTTATAAGCCTCTGCTCCCATCTAAATGGCATGCTCCTACATCTCTAATAGACCATATTTGTTCTTTGAGCCTGTTCATTCACTAAAGAATTTTTTTGTATCTCCATAGCAACGTAAAGAGAAGAGGAAAATTATAAGTAATGTATTGGTATTGGTGACAAATAGAGTCAAAAATAGGAGGGAAGAGTAGGTAAGGACCAGGATGGTGGTTGCTGGGATTTTGTGATCTCTGGGAAGATCAGGTCTGAGCAAAGTAGTAAGACAGTAGATTCTGTTGATTTTTTTTTTTTTTTTTTTTTTTTTTTTTGAGACAAACATCCTAGTGGATGCCTCGAAACCTGAAGCAGGTGCTTTCCCAGTGTTTTTGTACAGAGTAAATGTGGTGGTTTGAATGTTTTTGCCCCTATAATAAGCCCATGGGGAGTGACACTATTATGAGGTGTGGTATTATTGGAGGAGGTGTGACTTTGTTGGAGGAGGCTGGATGACACACAGGCCTTTAGTCCAGATTTTGAGGCTGGAGGGCACATCTTTAATCTGGGCCAAGCCTTCTGTTGGAAGCGTGTTACTGTGAAGTGGGTTTAGAGGCTTCATATACGCAGGATATAGCCCAGTGTGTCGATTGATTTCCTGTTGCCTGTAAGATATAGTAGTCTCAGCTCCATGCTCCCTGCCATGTTCATGGTTGACTGAACCTCTGCAACTAAGCAAGCCAAGTCAATTAAAATTTGTTTTCTCTCTTCCCCCCTACCCCCCAACCCCCCCCCCCAAGAGCTGCCGTGGACACAGTGTCTCTTCACAGTAGTAGAAACCATAGAACTAAGATAGCAAGAAAGCCAGTGAGACTGAGTGTTTGGGGTTTGCAGAGGCCAGAACAACAAGAAGAGCCCTGGCCACACACCATTGTGTAGGCCTGGGCTTCTCAGAGCCACTGGAGGTATTTTCACAGAGCAGCTGTGTGAACTGTGCTCCTCTGCCCTCCTGAGAGCCACCTCCACACACTGCCCACCAGGAGTCTCTGTTCTGTTGAATCATCAGAGGCATAGAGTCCTAGAGTCCTTCAGGTTGCTTGAGACCATCCTTGTACCTGTCTATTCTGATAGCCTTCATCCAATTACTGGTTCTCTTGACCCTTACCATCTTTACTGTAGAAAGCATTCTGACCTATGCTATGTCCTAGAAGCTGCTGCTTTCCCTTCCCAAGGGCACCCCTTTTCCTTTCCCTCCAAGACACACTTCCACTCTTGGTTCCCAGAACAGCAACCAGAGGGGAAGGTTCCTTTAGATCCCCATAGGCCTGGTCTGTAAACTCTTTTCTGTAAGGGGCGAGATCATAAATTACTGGGCTTTGGGGGCTTGTTCACACCTGCTCAGTTGCCATCAAGGTGTGAAAGCAGCCATAGACTCAAGAGTAAAAGAATCCCATGGCTATGCTCCTAACAACAGGAAGTTGGCTTTTGGAAAGGCCTTTCAGGGCAACTGTGTTCCAGAGAGGCTGTGAGTCCTGTCTCTGGAACATTTCTTTAATTTTCAAGATAGGTTTCTAGCAGATGTAGACAGTGAGGCTCTGTGCTTATTTCCTGTGTATTGAGAAAGGGAACCTTTTGTCTATTAACACCACCAAAGCAGAATGGGCAGTACAGGATGGAAATGTGTAGTACAGGTGGGAGGCCCAGGAAGCTAGGTTTGGCCAAGGGTTAGTCTTCTCACCAATGTGGCCCAGTGAGAGTATTACAGCATGGGAGTTCATCTAAGGAATGATAACACGAAAAGCACGTAAGTGTGAGCAGCAAGACAGCTTCTCCTGTGGGGAAGGAGAAGGTACCACAATTTCAGTCTTTGAATAACTTTGTGAACTGTGATGGAAGATGAAAGGAAACTAGCCGAAGTAGGAAGGCTGTTGGAAAATATGAGGCTGGAGTTTTAAAATGGCATTAGACTAGGGAGTTTTAGCCATTTTCAGATGTTTGTGGAGTATCTCTGAAATGTCCTAATGCATTTCCAAGGAAGTGGAAGCTGGTTTCTACTTTTCTATGGATGCTGAGTTCAAAGGGAAAAAAAATATTTCCTTTTTTTTGAGGGGAAGGGGGTTTGGGTAGTCCTTTGAGACACTTAAACTTTGAAAACCTCAACCATCTGAAGAGGGTCTGGGACTGAGGCTAGGCCCTTGAAGAAGAAAGCATGGAATGGGGAGGGGTGGAAAAGGTAAGGACACTTAAACAGGAAGTGCCTGCTCTATGGAGCTTACCTGTAGAGAATCCCTAGAGTTTCAAACCACTGATTCTCCTGGATCTTCTGAAGATGTCCACATAGGCTTTCTCACAGTGACACCTACTGCAGTGCTGGGCCTTCTTTCTGACTTGGAGCCTTAGGGCAGCATGTCCCTTATCTGAAATGAAGTCTCTTGCTTGCAGAATATCTTCCTGTCTGCTGGCCCTTGTTTTTCCTTTAACATGGAAGATACAGTTGCCTTTTTATCTACTCCCTCAGAAATGTATCTAAAGGCATCTGTGCTTCACAATATCTTAAGTATCCTGTGATAGCTTCATAGAGCACTCTTGACCTTTTGGACTGTGGTAGCTTGTTACTGATTTGTAGCCCACTATCCACTTGTTCTAGAACTTCAGCAGTCACAAAAATCAGTGTGGGGCCTAAATCTGATGATACTATGTGTCCTCGGAGTTGGTGTGCTTATTAAAGCTGCAGATACTCCCCAGAACAGGAGACTGGTCATGAGTATTTCATTTATGGCATCCTCCACATGTGGAAGCTCCAGGAGCAGAAAGCATGAATGTGAAAGAATGAATGAATGCCTAGAGAGAAACCTGCAGCTAGCACTCCTCCTCCCCACAGAGGGCAGCCCTCCCTTCTGTAGAATTGTGGAGTAGTGGCTCCCACCTGCACTCAGGTGTGGGTCAGAAGGACCCAGAGGGTCTCCACCCATCTTACCTGCTGATCTCGCTATTCAGAGAGTTTAGTTCCACACAACGTAAACGAACCTGGATTGGACACGGAGAGAACAATGTCCAATTAGGAGCATTGCAGTGTAAGCTGGTGATACTGGGATGTCTGACTTTTCACACTGGCATGCACACAGGCCTTGGGGGCAGTGCAGAAGGGGCTAAAACAGGTAACTTGGAAGGCCCTCCTTTCCCTCTAGGACAGTGACTGTCAGCCTTCCTAATGCTACAATCCTTTAGTACAGTTCATGTTGTGATGACCTCCAACCATAAATTCGTTTTATTGCTACTACATAACTGTAATTTTGCTACTGTTAAGAATCATAATGCAAACAACTGTGTTTTCCGATGGTCTTAGGTGACTCCTTCGAAGGGATTGTTTGACCCCCGGGTTGAGAATCACTACTCTAGAATGTTATATTTTTGTGGTTTTAATGTCCATCCGCCCCCCCCCATTTGTTTTCTCTAAGCCAGAGTTCTATGTGATCAAAGTTGATAGAGAAAACTGAATATGATGTTCTATTAAGACAGCCTGTAGTACTGCCTACATCTTTTTTTTTTTTTGCAAAAGACACCATTTTTAATTGCTTATATTATGTGAATTTTTATACTGAACCTTCTTGTCTCTTTAAATTTGTTGGTTTTTAGTTGAAGACTGTAGATCCCTAATCTTGGAAGTTGAAGGTGGGGCACTCATGCTGCCTCTGTCTTTCCACAATCACCGCCCATCCTCTTACTGTGCAGGACTTCAGTTAGTGGGGTTGAGATTGTTTCCACGTGTCAGTTCAGGTTAAATAGGTTAATTCAGACCACGGGTTAAATATACTCTAACGTACATTATTACTTTGCATCCCTTCATGGTTTATTGCTTGCCCTAATTCATATATATTTTAAAAGAGAGTGTAGCGTGGCTGATCTAGGTTGCTCCGGAACTCACTGTGGGGCTGAGTTTTGGGATTATAGCCATACACCACCATGGCGCGTTTAGTAATTGGACTTTAGTTTTGGTTTTTCCTATTATTGTTTTGGCACATGGTTTGAGGGGATACAGT